GTATCTTATCGTATCGTATCATATCTTATCTTATCTTATCGTATCGTATCTTATCTTATCTTATCTTAAGTGTTTAATGTATTTCTTAGTTCATATAATTACTGTTTTTATTTACATGTTATAATTTTGTTGGGTGTAACTGGGACCCTGTGAACATCCTTTCGTTCCACCACATGCACCACATGAGGTGCGAATGACAAATAAAGTCAGTAAAATCTTGACCTTGACTTTTTCTTCTGTTGAGTAAAAAATAAATCAGAATTCAATGAACCACAAATGTCATAGATAAATATTTTATTCTTTATGGAACAATGTTTCAAGTAATCAAAACGAGGTGTTTTTGAATTGGACAGCAGCGCCACACATTAAAGACACGTTGGTACGGGTGTTGTAGTTGGAGCACAGTGTTCTTCACCCTGCGCGCGTCAGGAGTCCAGGTGTTTCTACAAACCAGCAGCTTCAAGTGAAGCCACGGGGGCAGCCTCAGCAGCATCATGGCTGATTACCGTTTTATTTAAGGCTGAGTGGAACAAATATTTTTTCTGTGATAGTGACTCGGTAAAAATTCTTCTTGAGAAAATCTTTTGTGTAAAAAAAAAAAAAAAAGGTTTGTAATCTTTTGTATGCTCTAGATACATAAATCACAAAAAAGTTACATGATGTCATCTGGACAGATTCTTTTGTGAAGCAACGTTTTGTCTTTCATCTGAAGGACTTCATCTGATGAAGAACGTTTAATGTTTTTTGGACGATTTTTCTCGAAATGCCTCTGACAGCAAAGTGTTCGTAATGTTCCGATGATGTTGTCGGCGGAAAGGGGGTGGAGCTCCTGCAGGTAAGGGGCGTTTACCTTTGGGACAAGTTGAGATTGCTGATTGGTCAGTTGCTGACAAAACTGCTGGATTGATTGACAGGAGGAGTTGAGGATCCGATTCATGCAACAACAACAAAAAAAGATTTTATTGGTCTGTTTAAGAGTTTCTTTATTTATTTCATATTTATTGTAAATTTATTCAATATTTTGGTGAATCTAAGGTTTGAGGTCTGAGCTTCGTTACACAATCCTAACGATGGTTTTTCATTTATTTTAGTGGTGCTGAGTTAAAATTTAGAGGTGCTTGAGCACCCCCAAAAAGAGGCTAAATCCCCACTGGGCTCAGCTGCATGCGTCCTGCATGAGGTGTCATCATGATCACATCCGATGTTCCTCTGGACCGAGGATGTTGTTGGTTTGCTCCTACATGCATACAAAGAGTGAGTTGTACAAAAAGGACTCTGCTCTCTGCCATTTATTGTAATTGTTCGTTTAGAAAACCTCCACACCTGCAGAGGATCTCTCACCTCTGCAGGGGGTTCGCCTGAAAACCTCCACTCTGAGACCTGGACTCTGGTCCTGGATCTTCGGTTTCAGAGAACGAGAACTGTTGTACGCGAGTGGCTGGAGCACAGCAGCAAAGCTCTGGTTTCACTCAACAGACACGTGTAAACAGAGACTTGGAGACGTTTGAGTGATGTCAGGAACTGAACCCGTCCGTGCATGTTCTGTGCGCAGGTTAGGGAGAGCTGGTGCCGACCTGCAGCGTCATTCTGCGAGATGTCCATTCTGCTCGACCACCATTATAACACACAACTCAACCATGAACAAATCCAGTCCTTAATGTCTGCCTCATTTACCGCAGCAGAAACTAAACCACTCATATAAGATGATTTCACTCATGATGGTGTTTTTGTTTCTTCTGGGTGTTTCTGCTGCGCGGCGGAGCCACAGCGTCTCTGCTGGAAGAACAACAGTTCAGGAGTGAATATGGCTCTTACATGTTGGTGCGATGAAGCAGTTCATTGTCCATCTGTCTCTGGGTTAACTCCGTCCATCTGGTGCAGCCTCGTCCTCACAGAGCAGATCCAGCCTGGCCTCCCGCTTCCTTTAACATCATTTTATATTTTGTACTTTGGGTTGAAGGATTTACTGTTACTGACAAGAATGAAATAAACCTGTAGGTCAGTGTGACATGAACTCAACATCAGCGGTAACAAACATCTGGAGGTTTTCCTTTTCTTCTGCTGCTTTTGAATCATCTTCACATTTTTAAATAACATTTGTAATTTTCCAGGAATCGTCCCATCCCTCCAGTTTACCCCAAGATCTCAGATGGAGCATGTGTGTTGTCTCCGGATCAAAGGGAGGTCGTGTTAATGAGCCCATGTCCTGCCACCAACACGAACGCACTGTCACTCAGACGTGTTAATTAAAGACTTCAGGGCTCAAACACCAACTGTAAGGCCGAGCAGCAACAACACACCTTGTGTCCAGCTCACAGTTTGGGTAAACAACAACAACAACAACACTATTGGAACAGATAATTAAAATAGCGTTGCAGCAGAACAGTCGACGTGATCTCTCTCAGATCCCAAGTTTCTATAAACTCCACCTTCAAAAGTAAAGAGTCCAACAGTGCAGATGGTGTACTACCACACACCAACAAAACACAAGGACCAGATGTTCACTGATGCTCCAGGTGTTCCCTGGGGCTGATCGTCAGTTGGTGGTGAGGGACCTGAAGACCACGGCAGCAAACGTTCTCCTTTCAGCTTGTTTAAGATGCAAAGTGTCATTTCATGCCACGTTCGTCTCGTCTGTCTTTACGCTGAGTCACACATTCAAGGATCGTAACAAACGAGCAGAACGTCCCCCGTCGATGAAAGATTCAGAAGAAGACGTTTAGATTCTCCAGGTGAGTGCTTTTCTAGACTGGAATTAAGCAGCAAGTGAACTTTAAGTGGGGAAGAGTTAGACTGAGGAGAAGAACAGAGAGAGTTTGTAATTTTAAATTTGTTAATTTTTTGTTTGTCCGAGTCAGCGCAGAGCGATGGAGACTGGTGAGTGGAAGGAGCCATTTTATCCACAACCAGGAGCAGTGGTGGAGCCAGGGGGTGACTAATGGTGGAGCCAGGGGGTGGCCAGTGGTGGAGCCAGGGGGTGGCTAATGGTGGAGCCAGGGG